AAATGCTACATGGCTGCTGATATGAAGCTTGCAGTGGACAAGGTCGTTGTCAATGCTCAATGGCATGTCCATGGATACCATGGTCAGGAAGATGTGCCAGGTGCGCGGGAATTTATTTTGTCATTTTAACGACCTGCACGGTGCGCCGTACTACGTTGGTAAAAAAATGTGCCGTGCGCTGTACTTTAGAAAGCTAAAATAGTTCTACTATTTTAGTCGACAATATACGCGAGTATATTGACTACGCGAGTTGAACTGACAATAATAAAATGTAAGACATGTCCGGGTTACTTCTGACTCTTCCGGTTGTCCGCCTTGTCGGATACAGAACGTACGGTAATCGTAAACTGTGGCTGTTATACATACGAAATGTAAACAGACGGTGTTCAGTGTTGCCATATGACTTTGGAGAAAATTTCTTCTAAAATGAAGATGGCCGGGATTGTGCGAACACGTGCGTGAAGATAATCAATTTTCATTACATTGCGCCAACTGTGCACAGCAATAGCTTAAAAAAAGTGAAAATGCGCGGGAAAATTCCCCGAAAACATACATCATCCTGAGTGTGGCATGGATACAGTAATATCACATTAATAATATGGTAATTAATGAATATGGTGATATCAAATCAAAAAAGGAAAAACAAGTAAAAATCACAGAAAATGTCATTTATTTTATATCTACATCATCTACAATGAAGGAGGAGGACTTCAGAGTACTGTTAGTAATGGATGAGTATGCTCTGCATGCTTCAAACGTTTTGAAATTAACTTTCATTGCAAGTGTCCCGGATTACCCCGTTCCCAGGGATAAATCTGGATGGTTTTATTTTGCATCTGGCACCTTACAAATAGCATATGGCATTTTTTTGAAGATGCCATTCAATAGCCCTCACAAAGAAAAAGCTATAAAATGAGCCTAAACTTGTTTCTGAAATGTTTCATGGTAAGAAGTTATTAACAAAAAAGGCTCAAAACCATCCTTTTTTACCCCGTTTGACGGTATCCAGGGTGCAGAAAGTGGGTCTGTGGGTGAATATCTAAAGATATTTGGTGATGCATCAGCAGCAAAGTTTATGCCTTCTGAAGATCTTGCTGACACATTAGGATTGAAATTATTGCATTTTAGAAATTAGGATAAACGTGGTATATTCCGACACATTAAGGACATAGCAAGAAATGAATTGCCATGTTTATTTAAAAGCCTTTAGAATTGAAACCTACAAAATCCCTAAATTCCAGCAGCGCTTCAAACTATATTCATTTGTAATTCTGGCACCCTGTGCTGGAATTCTGACGCCCTGTGTGAGCTGTATTGGAATACGACACAGCTCAGAATGAGCTTAATTAAAAATTTTAATTTTTTGATTAAGCTTTTAATTAAGAGCTGTTAATCTTTTAATTAAGAAAATTTTAATTTTTGGACACAGCTCGGAACAAGCTGTGTGTCTCTAATTCCAAGCTGTGTTGGAATAGTTTTTATGTGTTTAAAACCGTCGCTTAACTTAATCATCTATTAATTTATTTACCACTTGAAATCAGCAAATACAAGTATACTTAAAGGATTCCTAAGTGTCGGAATATGCCGCGTTTACCCCTACTTCAAAGTTATTGCAAATCTGAAAGACTCCAAGCCCACACAGTAAGGTTTCCAGTACGCTGGATGCATAGTGGCACCAGACTGTAAAGCAGGATGGAATTCTAATTTTGAAGGTTCATATATTATTTTGATCCACCAAGACCACCTTTTCAACCCAAAATCGTTATTTGAGGCAAAAATGAACTTTTTAAAGACTTGAAATACATATGCTAACAGTCTAACCTGCTCAGTTTTTATAAAGTAATCACTTGGAACTTGCATGCCTGCACCTTTCGCTCAACAATTAAAATTAAACTTATAAAAAGTATTAGTTAGCTGAAGATTAGTCTCTTAAGTTGACTGCAATGAACTAAACTTCATAAAGTAATTAAAACTATGCTGCAAAGCAGAGTTTTCCATGCTGCACACTAAACACGCAATTTAGGCAAGCAGAACTACACATCACGAGAGCAAGCGTGCAACTGTAACAGCTTCATGTTCATAGTTCACTCCAGCCTCCCGGTGCATGATAATCTAGCAGGATGATCATTGGTGAAGGTAACCGAGTCTGACTAATCAACTATCATTTGTATATTTAGTGCAGTGGTTCCCAAACTTTTTCAGGCTTGGTGCTCCCTTTGGCCCCGTAGTGAATTGCTAGCGCCCCCTACAGACATATGCCTCTTTCTTGAAATTTAGTATGCTGCAATTTTAAAAGATAAAGGTTAAACACAAATGTGTATTTCACAAATAAAACCCATTTGGTGAACCAATATGTTTTTCAGCTGTTTCAGCACTACAGCAACTGTTTCAGCACTAGAAACCTAGAACGTCTCAGGCAAATTTATGGCTGGACTTGTGGCTGATCTCACAACCAATCTCCAAATTAAATTATCAAGTAATATCTCCCAAACTAATGAACGCAGCTCTATGAAACTTGGAACATGTATTCATCAGAGTCTAACAGTGATGTGTAGCCTGTAATTTTTTTTTATTTTACCTTCATTCATGAGTTATGCGTACATTGCAAAATAGGCCAAAATTTGCAGTGATCAAATAATTTCTTCCAAACTATTGAACTGTTTTGAATGAAATTTTGAATATACATTCCTAACTACCAAACGATGATTTTTTAGCTTATAAAATTTTGTTCAATTTTACCTTCGTTTGCGAGTTTTTTTTTTTTTTTCATTTCGCAGTCATTCTTGATTTCACACTTCCTTATATTTGGCCCGTATTCCCTGGTAATATGTCACTAAAATTTGCAGCGATCAAGAAATTTCTTCTAAATTACAGAACAGATTTCAAGGAAAGTTTGTATATAAATATTTACTTAACCTCTCAACGGTGATGTTTAGCTTGTGATAATTTTTTTATTTTGCTTTTGTTCGCAAGTTATACAGATATTGGAGGAACGACTGGCTTTTCTACTGGCCGGTTTAACCAAGAGCCTTATACGTATAGCCGCATAACTCACAAACAAAGGCAAAACGAAAAAATTGTAAACATCACCGTTGCTGAGGTTAAGTATTAAAATACTAAGTTTTGTTCAGAAGTTTAGAAAAAATTTCTTGATGACTGCGAATTTAAGCACGTATTGCTGTTTAAATCATGAATGAAGGTGAAATTTAAAAACTTGTGAACAAAGGCATGATCGAAAAATTTTCACGAGCTAAACTTTACCGTTTGGTAGTTAGGACTGTAAATTCAAAATTTAGTTCAAATCTGTTCAGTAGTTTGGAAGAAATAACTTGATCACTGTGAAATTTGGCCCTTATTAATAATAATAATAGCGGTTTCAGCGTTTATTAGGCCGTAGGCCTGTCGTCGATTCCTTACATTGCAGAACATCCACACCTTGTTGAGGTCTCAAACTCACAACTCACTGATTCAAATTCTACCATCCTTAACTGCCCGGCCTCCTTGCCGATTCTGACCAGAAACTGGCGCACAGAGCTGGGATCAAACCCGCACCTCTCTGCGCCAATCTTGGTGCTCTGAAATGTAACCACTTGGCCACCCTGCCATATAACAATGGCAAAAACAAATGATTGCAAATTCAAACAATTTTCACAAGCAAAACATTATCGTTAGGCCCTAATGAATATGTGTAGGTACCAAGTTTCATAGAGTAAAGTTCATTAGTTTGAGAGATATTCCTTGAACATTGAATTTGAAAATTGGCCATGAACCGGCCGTGAGTCCGGCTGTTAATTTGTGCAAGACGTAAACCCAGGAGAAGTTAAAAAAATATAACTCAGTACTCACTGCAGTGAGTGACAGAGCGCATTTTCTCATCAACAAAAACTTGAGGTCACGGACGGACGGACAGACAGACGGACATGGCGAGCACAATAGTGCATTTTTTCCATAAATGAAAAAATGTGCTAAAAACAGATCTGGGTGAAAAAACCATCGCTGGGAGTCATGTGCTGCATGTGTTGTGTACAAATCGTTAAACAAACGTTTGAACTTCTGACTTTGGACTATCGCCCTCTTCTTCCTTACCACCCCCCAAAATCTTGCCACCGCCCCTAGGGGGGCGATATCGCCCACCTTAGGAACCACTGATATAGTGCAAGATAATGATGAATTATGTTGTTTCTTTTAGTGGTTTGAACCATTTTTGCAAAAATCTAAAATTCAAACAAATTATTTTGTTATTTTGACTTGGTTTATTCATAGGAAATATTCTAATGCTCATTTATGCAATGCTTTTGAAATAAATTAAATGATGTTTATTTATATCTATAAGAGTGATTAAACAACTGCAAATCGATTTATTATCCTTTAAATAAAAATCCTTGCATTGAAACTCTTGGACGATGTATCTACCGCAATATTTGTACACCATTAATCAACATTATCAAGAGCCGAACGTCAACCCGCAACCCAACCGATCGTTGGAAATAACCAACCGATGGCGAACCGATCGTTGGCCGCTAATATGTTGCATTGTTCTACCATTACGACCAATAGAACCTAAATAAACTTTGTTCATCAAAAGGACAAAAAGCTTATATCACACTTCCGTGATAGTACAATAAATTTTGAAATCTTCTCCAGTCATGAGGTTTAAATTCATACTCATAGGTGATCTTGAATTTGTGCATTGCGTTATGCAATTTGTAAAATTATAAATTGTAAATAGGTACAGTACAAACTTTTTCTAATTAATTCTGAAAGTGTAATGTCTATTGAATTCTAATACGAACATTAATTTTAGCATCGTATTTCCGAAATTCAAGTATTGCATTTCTTTTAATTTAAAAATCTTTTACATCAAAAACAAATTTTTTCTTACAGCTCCTATGATGATTGACAATCTCACTCATATAGCTAAAAATTTTGAATTGAATAATTTTGTCATTTCAAAGACTCCATTGATTACAGAACTTTAGTTTTTGCAAGTGTATTCAAGAATGGTTTCTGAAATAGTAGGGACATTTCTATTATCATTCTGAAATAGAGGTGTTATTTCCGTTCTTATATATAACAGGATTAATAAAATACCTATCAAATCCATTCACTGTCATTCAATTTGTGATGTATATATGAATGACAGTTTTACTTTCATTCCTATGATGCTCATTTTTTACCATTTGATGCTCATTTTACCATTTTGAAGTTAATTTGAAAAATACACGTATGTTATATGTAGAAACTTAATTTTGCTTGAAGCTAGGCATTCATAGATCAGATTTTTAAAAGAAATGTACAAAATGTATTTGCTAATTTTTGTTTTCTTAGCTGTTGATTTTCCTTGAATTTCCTATACTCATGGAATTTCATTTGCAGTGGCGAGCTGAGCTGGAAGAAATTATTGAAGTGGCAATTGTTGACAGCGATTCCTGGGTTGCAATGATTGCAGAAATAATCAAAACTTATCCAAGCCTTGGTGCATTAAACTTAGATATCAGGTGAGCATTTTGCAGAATTTTTATCATTAAATTTTGTTAATGAACCCATTTGTACTGAGTCTAGTTTGATATGTTAGTGCTAAGACTGCCTGCAATTACATTTTGTCTATATGGCCTGAGCTTTAATAACATGCCTGAGCTGTAACATCTGTTGTATCAGCTATTTGCAGGTTTTGGAAAGGCTTATTCACGGTCCATAATACTTGCTTATTTGCAAAGAGCAACCACATCCCTGTAACTTTTAAGTGGTAATAATTAGCCAATTTATTAATCAATACCAGAAATTCAAATATATCATATGCAATCAACTGTATCAGATTATTTAAATCATTACCTTTGAGCCTTATCTCCAAATTAACCACAACAATGAAGCAGCATAATCCTCTATAAATTTTCTATGCTTGATTATAGATTTTTTCATTTATATAGTACTTTCTGCAACTCAATATCACCACATGCTTATACTTATTAAGATTACTCTTGTTATTGGTTATTATTCCATAAACTACAAGCTGGCTAACATGCTTCTGACTGGCCAGATGTATTGTTTTTCAAATAACATCATTGCTTTAATGATTAGTATAGAATGACCCACTGTCATTACATTAGACAAGTACCCGAGATACCAAATAGTAGACAAGTAGAGATAACAATATGATGGTATACATCCATAACTTTGGGAGGTTCTCAAAAGAGGCTTTAAATAATTTTGTTAAATTCTGTTACTGATTTATGATGAGGGTTTACCGATTATGTTTTATTCTTGAAAAGGCTTGTGAAATTTCTGTTCTTTTCATGTCCATGGACTTGATGTCAGTAAAATTTTCCTTAAATTCTATCAGGATATTAAATTGAAAAAATATATTTTTCTTTATTTTGATTGTTGTTGTTACAAGTATAATGTTCATTGCACTAAAAAAGTTAATGGAGCAGGGAGCAAGGAGACAATCAGCGTATTGTCCAAGATCTTGCAAGTGAACTACGAAGAGTTGTTAAGAAGCACAATGAAGTTGGCTTACTGCCCATGGAGTGCAGCTACCTCAACAGAAGTGCCTTTCTTGTGGCAGCTCCTCAGCAAGTTTGTCATTCTGCATGTCTTAGTGCAAGCAATAATTTGCATAATCCCAATTGTAATGGATTTAGTTGCTTTCATTGCATATTCATTGCGAGGCAATGTTTATAAGTGTGAGCATGTCAACATTATTGAGCTGGGCATAATTTATTATATAAATATATGATTTCCTGTGATTTTTGGATTTTTTATGAAATCACTTCTTCAGTGGGTGATTCATGCAAGCATATTGTTGATAAGTGGTTTATAAAATGGAATTTGTTGCAGCCTGTCATGATGAAACACTTCAACTTGAAGCGGAAACCTAAAGCTGCTGCCCTGAGAGCAGAGCTGGTGACGCGCTCTAGTGATGCTCAAGCTAATATCAAGAAAAGTCAACTTCCAACTGTACCTGTCAGGTCCAGGGGAATGCCGCGCAATAATGACTCAAGTAAGCTTTAAAAATATTTTTTATGTTAAACTTGGAGTGCTCTTATAATTTAATCTTTTTTGGCAATGTTGGATATTTCTCTAATTTAGAGCCACTTGCCTCCATTTGTTATAGTTTCAAATCAAACTATATCTGTGTCTAACAAAATTCCTATTATTTGGTTAACTTTTTGGATACAACATGAATATTTTTTGATCTGTAATATCTGATTTTATTGCCTTGAGCCTGAAGATAATGCTAGGAAAATGCAATTTATATGAGCAGTAATTATGGAAATGCATGAACTTTTAGTCAGTTATGAAGGTTTAGGTGGAAGTAGAGTATGGAGGATGCCTAATGTGCTAATTCACATCAGTATATAAATGCTACCGTACGGTATCCAACATACAGCACCATGACTTTGATTTTCTTGGCGGATTTTTGTGAGCTTTAAAGCTATTTTACAAAACTTCTCTTTAACTTCACTTCTTGTTGTTTCTGTCTTATAATCGAAATTTAACACTACAAATCTTATAATCAATATTTAACACACTTCTACCTCTCCAATTGATCTGAAATTTTGCACACTTGTGTTTAGTTAGAGAAATGCATGAATTAATTGACAAAATACATACCAGCAATTTTAAAAATTGAAAAAAAAGTTTTAGTAATAAAAAAATAACTGCATAAATTATTTTGTCTATGAATCTTATAATCAATATTTAACGCAATTATATTGTACCTATCCAATCGATCTGAAATTTTGCACACTTGAGTAAAGTTGGAGAAATGCATGAATCAATTGACAGAATGAAGAATTTTGAAGATTTTATTAATTTTATAAACTAAAAAATTTAATTTTTTTAATATTTGAAAATAGAATTAGAAATTCATTGTATGTGTGTAACATCTGAGACACTGGATTCTTTAGAAGTGTTGTCTTTAAAAAGTAATTTTTAAACGCATATTATTTAATGTTCCAATTAAGGCTTAGCTTCCATCTAGATAGCTGAAATATTTCCCATTTAAAGGATTCATATTATTGACCATAGAGTTTGCACAAGACAACATAACTAACATTGCTTCAGCATTGGTAAATGACACTGATATAGGTACCTGAACAATAAACATTCAATCAAAATATGTGCTAATAATGTCTTATTTGTATAATATAATTTCTAAAAGTTCCTATGCATGGTCAATATTTGTAATTGCTAGCTTATTTAAAGTAATATTTTTTTCAAAGTTCCAATGCGTGGCATCCCACGGAGCCTGTCAGGTCCTGGCATGATGAGGAACTCTTCTCTGACGCCACTCTCGGCGAGGCCGTCACGCCCTCCTCTCACAGCGCGCAGGAAAGACGGCGGCATAAAGCTGCTTGACATCAACGAAAGCCCCATTGCCGCCCAGCAGGTGAATGCTTCATCTCAACAATCATAGTGAATATGTCCTCTCAAGGAATCGAAGCGGATGTACTCAGAAATGTCATTGTTATTCTTTGTCAAGATTACCAGTGGTTGGTTATCATGCCAATAATCGTGGAACAATTTTTTGATCACTGGTCAGAATGTGGACAAATTTGCGTTTTGATGCCAATACTTTTGAAATAAGGATACCAAGTTTCACAGTCTAGCCTATCTTTGCGACTTTGACTGTTTCTTATCTTAGCAAAATGCAGCCAAAACCTTGAGATGAGTTTGTTTGGAGAGACGAGAAAGTTTCAACGTTACAGGCTATATTCTTGATCAAATGGCATGTTATAGTGATGTATTTGTGTAACTTGGGTTACTATAATATCAATTTTGATGCCAAATTTAGTTTGAAGTGCAGTGTGTTCCAATTTATAATTTTATCAACTTGGAATGGAATTGCTTTGATCTTAAATATGACAACAATTTGATGACACTCCCTATCGTCATTTTTACATTCATTGTATTACTGCAATTCCTTGTATTTAATTAAAGTAAATTAATAATTAAACCCGTTTTGGTAGATATCTCTTAGCTTTTATCACTACAACTTAGCTCCCTCAATTCTGCAGCCTGATGCTGAGGATTGATCAAGAAACAAGTGCGCGATGATTCAAATAATGAATGATTTTGTAAAGAATTAAATCTTGAACATTAAGGCTCTTTATGTGAAAGCAAGAACATCACCCTCTTTTGTTCTCAATTTTTTTTTAATTTATTGTTATTGATTTAAGAGATTTATTGATGTCTTGGCTCGTACCGAAGACCAAAGCATGAACTAAATTACTTAAGGCTAGAGATGCGTTTCATTGTTACAATTCCTGCGATGTTGAATTCTCTGAATTTTAAATTCTATGAATGTCTGCACTTTACATATCAATGAAAACTTCATGATATTATTTGGTTTTCAGGCAAAGAAAAGAAGAAAATTGCAAGAAGCTGCTGAAAATAAAGCAGCAGAAGCAGAAGCAAAACAACAGAAACTGCAGCAACAACAAGAAGCTGCTGCTGCGAATGCAGCTGCTCAAGCTGCTGCAGCACAACAACAGCAACAGCAGCAACAAGAGTCTTCCACAGATGCGCTCGACAACTCAACAGATGCTTCTGACATGCAGAAATTGACGCCTTTAGAACCGGTAGCTGAGGTACAGGATGATGTTGCTACTCCTGACTATGCAGCTGGCCTTACCCCCTCCCAACCCCCAACCCCTGGGGGACCTCCTGCCCCCCAGGCCACCCCCATTCTCTCCAATGCTGTCGCTACTGCTGCTGCTTTACAAGGTTAGCTATCAAAGTCGGTATGTATTTCTTACTACTTTGTTTAATACGAATTGCAAGAATCTCTTGCTGTTCATTAGGAAAACATTTTCTATTTTTACCAGAAAAATGGTCTGTATGTTCTTAAAATGAATCGTTTCGTATATTGAACCCTCTTTATTTAATCTGCATTACAAGAATCTCGTGTAGTTTTTTAAGAAAACGCTTTTCAATCGTTTTGAAAAAAATGTCTGGTATGTTCTTCAAACGACATTGGTTTTTGCAGTTGGAGGAAGTGTGCAGCTACCAGCCGGCACCATCATATCCCGACAAAGTATCCAGAGTTGTACAGCATCAAGTCCCCCGCAGCCACAGCAGCAGGGGGTCGTAAACTTGCCTGGGCTGGGCACACACCAGCGCATCATCGTCACACAGACGCCGGGTGGAGGGGAACAGAGATTCATCCTCACCGACGCACCAGGTCAATTATACTCATATGTGTGAGGGAATGATGGGTGGACTGGATGTATGGCACACCATTCCCACGCATCAAATGTGAGGGGATGATGGGTGAATTGGAGGTATGACCAAACTGTTAAATGGTCACGTGATGGAGATGGATGAGCTACGTACCGTACCACACTGACCCTATTGTTTGGTTTAATATGATTCATGTATAACCGTTTTAAGTCTATGTTGATGAATGTTATCAATTTAATGTGTACTAAATTCTCGCATTAATGCACTGCAGGTGCTGGAGCAGGCGAGCAAAGAATAGTGCTAAGTGGAGACCAGCGGATAATAATAACCCCAGCAAATGCAGGAGTTGGAGCAGGAGAGCAGCGTATCCTCCTCACCAACCCCAGCACCGGCGTCACCACAGAACAGCGCGTCCTGGTGACGCCTTCTGGTGGAGAACCGCGAATTATTATGGCGCCCGCTGGGACGGGCGGGGAGCCACGTATTATATTGGCAAGCCCTTCTCCAGCAGGAGGAGAACCGCGTATTTTAGTTACTCCTGGCTCTCAAGGCACAATATTACAACAAAGTGCTACTGGACAGACGCTTGTGTATAGAACATTACCGGCAGCTGCCCAGCAAACCTACTCAGAACCTCAGCAGCTCAGCGATAACTCTCAGCCTCAGTATGCAACTCTTCAGGTGTGTATTCATCTTATTTATTGCTAGTATAATAAGATGTTTATCAATGGACTTATATATTATTCATAGTATCAAATTGTATTCTGTTGCAATTAAGTTTGTGGTCCTTTAATTCGATCATTAACTTGAAATTAAAACTATTAAGCCAAGCGAATGGTAAAGACTGCAATAGGCCCACATCATAAGTAGTATAGAATTTGTGAACTCCCATTGATGACCAATCAATCTCCCATGAGATCATGGGAGATCATCTCCCATGATATGAACTGTTTAATTTTTTATAATGCTCAAAGTGGTGTGACTCTAACTCTTCTTTCTCTAATGCATCAAGTTTTTATGCTAAATTTTTTCTGAAAATTTTATTACATTGCACCAGTACTAACTGCTGATGTGCACCAAAGGCGTTCATGCTTGATCGCAAAAATAACAATGGTTATGATACACAAAATTATGATGTTCTCTTGTTGACGATGATAATGTTGACTGTGCAGCCGGTGCAGCCAGAAGTTCTGTACGCCCTCAGCACGGCGGCCGGTGACGGTGGCGTGTCCCAGCAACAGGTTCGTTGCCTCGATTCCTGCCTGCGTGCTCAGTTGCAAACTTTTTCTTAGTTCCTTCAGTATGCTATACTCTCTCAAACTTCTGATTGAACCTGATGGCTCGATAATATCGTAGTAGAACAATATGAATAACAATCATCTAGCTTCACTCTCAAAGATTCCTTGTAAGGTTATCATTAGATCTAATTTCACAACGAATTAGTCAAAATCCTGAAATTCCTAACTTTTGAGTTACTGATAGAAGTTAATAGAAAGATTATCATTAAATCTCCTTAAAGCTTAAACCATGAGTTATGATCGCTAGTCTGACCTGACATCGTTATATTCTTCATTCAATTTTATTTAGTACAATATTCATCACAGATGATGTCATGGCTTTTCACTGACGGAGTAATGGTCAGTTGTGACATTTTCAGTTCATAAACGTTCAATTGTGTAGAAATAATTGTAAGCTACGAATATTTTATACTTTTTAAAACCCCTGGTCACATTCATGTGCTTATTTTAATATTTATAGTGGTTTTAATCACTCAAAAACAAAGTTATCACTCGAGCCTCATTAATACGTTGACTCCGAAGTGGTACATATGCGTACCTACCACGAAATGTATTTCTCCAGGACGAAGTGGTGCATAATTCAGGTTGCCAAAAATCGGCCAAATCCGAGAACAAAAAAGGCCGATAACCCAATATATACTAGTTTATTTGTAGGTTAGTCCAGTATTTAAAATTTAATTTGGAAGTACCCCTATCATAAATTTTAGCCGGCCAACGCAATTGAGAAAAACTAAATCACGGAATTTATCCGGAAAAAATAACCGTCTGGCAACCCTGTTTAAAAACAGTACAAAAAATGAAATAATTGACAAGATGAAGCAATCGTAGTCAACGTGTTAATCAGTCACCAAGATCATGAAGCAGGTCATGGCTGCTTTACTGTCTTGCAGCTTCCTAATTAAAATATTTTACATCAAACTATGTTTTATGGCTTTGAATATGCTGTAATTATCTCTTACTATATTTTATTTATTTATCAAACTTGGCGATGGTTGTTATTCTATCATTCATGTAAGAGAGTTATTCGTGTGTACTGGCGTATTACGTGGGAGTGTTTAACTTCGTCTTTCCTGTCATCCGTCAATTAAATTAAAAAGTTAATTCTTGTATGCTGGCAAGTATCGTGACACTGGGTAACTGTGTGTTTGTATGGCAGGTAATAGCATTAAGCACCCAGCAGCAGGCACCAGCAACTGTGCTACAGCCTGCCGCTACTGCTGTGTCTGCTACCTCAGTGCAGCAGCAGGTGCAGGTGCTCCCCGCTCAGCAGCAGCAGCAACAGAAGAGAAACCTCACTTTAACGGTCAGTTAAATAAATTTCTCACACAGAAATTAAAGAAATCTCACAAAATTAAAATTAAAGAAATCTCACACAGCCTGCTTAGGCTGTGTGCAGAAAATATTTCATTGCTGTTACCATATAGTTACTTTACAATATATGAGTTTAATGAAATAAATGCAAATAATCGTTATTAAGAGCATTAAACCTTAATAGTTATTTTTTTCACTTTTACCGACCGACAAATTTAGAGAAGCTGTATGTACCTAATATGTTCGTCATGCAATGTGCTAAAAATAAAATGTAACTCGACCACACATTTTATTTCAACCACGTTCTTATAACATCCCTCACCTTCTATTACAAGTTGTTGTACCGTACCATGCATTCTTTTTTAAACATGCTGGTTGTTCACTCTCACTTTCGGTTGAGCAGAAAGAGCAGATGTTGGAGGCACAGGAAATGTTCCGCACGAGCAACAAAGTGACGCGCCCTGAGAAGGCCCTCATCCTCGGCTTCATGGCGGGATCTCGGGACAACCCTTGCCCTCATCTTGGCAACATCGTCACCATCAAACTCTCTGAAGGTACTGTCACTAGCAGCGAAAAAATCTCAAGCTCTTGAACTGTATAGTTACTTGAAGGGAAAATGTACTCTAAACTCTCTCTAGGTATAGTCATTTGCAGGGAGTACAGACATTAAGCTCGTTGTAGTAACATGTATTTGCTGAGTAGTGAGGTTTTGTCAGTAAACTTGATGATTTTGTCAAATTTGTGTATTCATAATAGAGTATCTAGTACCTTTCACTGCGTTACTTTTTTACATATTTTTTTCTATTGATTTTTCTCATTTTTTACGCGAACATGCAGGTTGCCTGATTTACTGCTCATAGAACAAGCACTTCACTTTTCTCATCCCATGTAGATGAGAAAAGCCTCGCTGTTGTTGAATAGGTAATCGATTTTACCGCGCATCAGCCTAAAGAAAAGCGCTTTGTCTTCTTCGTGTTTTTGAACAACTTTTATCCTGTTCCCCTGCAGTTTTGTCTATAGAAAATAGCAGTAATAGCTGTGACTTACATTTAGGTTACATTCAGTTGTAGCACTTCACTGTGACACGTAACTTGAAGTGTCTTCATAGTTCTGACGGTGTACAGCTAGAACCGGGGTGACTTTATGAGGTTATGAAACAAAATTGACTATATCAGAGAAAGTTAAAATTAATTTCTTGTCGATAAAATAAATTGGATACTTGTAAAGAGTTTATATACGTGATGTACAAAATTTTATTATTACTCTATACAATACCACGTGTTTATTCTGTTGCATGTTGGTGGTTAGAAAGGAATTCGACTTGAAACATTGTTTCTTCCAAATGGATCCGATCTTGGTTTTCATAAACGGGCATGTTTGCATTTCTTCTCGTTACGTTGAGATGGGCACATTCTTCGTGCTGCATTATTAATGTCGAAGTTTAACGCTCAGATTTCGAGTTGAAGTTTGACGCCCGGATTTGGTGTTGCAGAACCAAAACACTGGTTTGATTTTTACAAATTATTTACAGCCTGACTAAGAATGAAAAATATAGGAGCTATTAATTTACAGAACCCGTTTGCTGGTGTAACATCCTTGTTGAGATGTGAATTTGTATGCGCAGGGGAGGAGACTGTAAACCAGCCCGGAGGAACTTCCATCAACATGCTGGCAGAGACGCATTTCCAGATGAACTACAACACAGGCGAGTGGCGGCGCATCAAGAAGTACCGAACACTGCCTGTTGATCAGCAGGCAGCGCAGTGAGGTGGTTACTCACAGAGGCGGCCACTCAAGGAGGCGGTCGCTCACAGAGGCGGCCGCTCACAGAGGCGGCCACTCACAGCATCGGCGAGTGGCGGCGCCATAAGATATTCCGCCACTAGAAGATCTGATAAGATGGCAGGGTTTAGGATGTGACCTGACGTGTGGATTCGTTCATTGGTTCATGTTGAGTGAACTTTCGAAAGGGAGCGAAGACATGTGCATCTAGCATTTTATACTGTTATCTGATCGCGTCTGCCCTTCCAGATAGTAAGATAAAAGTATATATATTTGCATCATTCCAGTGATGTTGATGGAGAACGTTTCATTTTACTTATATGTGCGTTTTGTAAATTTTTCATCTTAACTCGGTTCTCTTTGTCTCTTAATTCATTTTCATGATACACGATTTATTATATTTGATTCACCATCTACATCTCCTTGATGTAACTTAATACATATGATAGGTAACTTCGTACCTGGTTCTAGCAATGACGTAAATCTGTTGTCGTGATAGTTCTGTCAGCAAAATTTTCAACCCTTTTAAATTTTTATATCTTCGATGTCATGCGTTACTCTTGTTACCAGGATACTCTTCTCATTATCCAGGTTACTCCTCTTGTTACCAGGATACTCTTCTCATTATCCAGGATACTGTTCTCATTATCCAGGTTACTCCTTTTGTTACCAAAGGCAAATGCTTAAACTTTGGTGATCGCTGCAACACGTCATCCAGTCTGACGTGGCATCTTGCAGGTTTATCATTGTCACTACCTCATCATGCATTGGCCTTTACATTTATTGGATAATTAACGCAACATTTCTTCCCTCCCTATTTTTATCATTGTTACCTTCTTTCTTTTATATATTTTTATTGTGTGCAAAAAATAGTTAGGTTGTTTTGCTTCCATACTGAATGTTCTTATAAATGAAGTTTTGCTGCAGGAACCTGAAGGGAACTGTAAAATTTGCTTCCAGTTCACGAACATTTCATATCAGTTTTTTTGTGTTCGCTTGAGCGGGTTTAATGAAAATTAAATGTGTTATTTATCTTACAATATTTTAGTACAAGCTTGTAGTGCGTTAAAGTGCTGAGGTATGATATATGATTTCGAAGTGTGATTAACATCCATCATTAGTCATTCACGATATCATTTTTTGTAAATAACTAATCTCATTTTCGTACATAATTCATTGTTGAAACTCCAACAATCACTAAACTACATTATTGTTTAAAGCCAAGTGCGTATATGTATTGTTCGATGAAATGTTCAAATTCAACACTATGAAGTAATGTTATTTCGTTTCTATGTCTTGAAATAATGTTGCATTTCTGCGTATCTTATAAGTTGGTGTTGAGATGAACTGTGGTGCGTGTTTCTAGAAGACGAACGCAAGTTCGTAACTCCTGGTCCGGAGTGTCCGTTGTAAGATTCAGTACAATGACTTCTTGGTATTCTCTCTTGCCTGACTTGTGTAAACTACAGCTTTATATGTTATACATGTGTGCCTCCTCTTGTCTAGCTCTACTTTGGAGTTACAGTCCACCATTCCTGTCGTCTCCATCACTCTTCCTGTCCATCTTTCAACTGCAGTTTTTATCTTTTACTACTTTATTCTGTGTTCTTCATTTCTGTTGCAGTCCCCCTCCCTTTATCTTTAAGCGCCGCTGCCCGTTAACTGCTTCTACTTCCTGCAGTTGGTCAACTATTTATCACTTTTGTAGCGCAATTTATTTTCCTACCACAATTCAGATTTTGCTATCTCTCAATGCGGGCTCTTTTTAAGTCCAATGTTGGCAGTACGATAACCTTGTATGAAGTGAGTTATAATAATTCAGCACGAATAAAAAGGGCACTTTATTTTCGACAAAGCGATTTGAACTAATTTTGGCTACTATGTTGTACAGATGTGTAATGTTATAAGATAAACCACCAAACCTGACGTGTATGATATCGCTCTTGTTTTGAAATGTAAAACTTGTGCATTAATAATAATAAAACCTGAGAAGAGATTATGTCTTCTAATTCTTTATCTTGGGCACTAATTTAGCTCGATGACTGAAGTGATGACGAAAGTTTTCAAGCTAAGCATGAATCTGACAACCTTCATTAATTTATGACGGATTATGAAATATGTTGCAGGATCCAACTGAAAATCATTTGGTCGTTTCTTTACGCGATAATTGCGTTTCTTACGTTGGTAAAGACGCTTTATTTGCTGCTTTTGTATACGCTTGTTCTTTGTTGATTGTCTGTACGGAGAAAAAAATTCGCACTTGATCCAATCGAGTCTCCCGTCTGGAACCAGCGGCCGTGTGATCATAACGTGGCATGGCAGGGGTCGTATTAACAGCACACGGTGCCGTTCATGTACAAGTAGCGGCTGATTTGTCGTCTGTGATTGATGGACTCGTGATTGGCTGACGAAGTTACGAACTCAGTGATTGGCTGACGAAGTTACGAACTCAGTGATTGGCTGACGAAGTTACGAACTCAGTGATTGGCTGTCGAAGTTAGAAACTCAGTGATTGGCTGACGGAGTCACGAACTCCGTGATTGGCTGACGAAGTCACGAACTCAGTGATTGGCTGACGAAGCCACGAACTCAGTGATTGGCTGACGACGAAGTCACGAACTCAGTGATTGGCTGACGAAGTCACGAACTCAGTGATTGGCTGACGAAGTCACGAACTCAGTGATTGGCTGACGAAGCCACTAACTAAGTGATTGGCTGACGAAGTCACGAACTCGGTGATTGGCTGACGAAGTCATGAACTCGGTGATTGGCTGACGAAGTCATGAACTCGGTGATTGGCTGACGAAGTCATGAACTCGGTGATTGGCTGACGAAGTCACGAACTCGTAACTGTGTTTGATAGTACGACTCCTGGACGATGGAAACCTGCGGTTATCTCCCAGAATGCATGTCAGTGACATTTACGTGAATTGTAACGTGGAAATATTTCAGTTGCTTCATTTTTTATTGTTATTCAAACGCGTTGTCGGTAATACATTTAATTCATTGTAATGCATATGACAATTTGCTTGCCACATCGCTTGAGCCAAAAGTGCAAATATATCTCATCTGTTGAAGTTATTCGACGTCCATTAACTCTTAAGAATAATTTTAACGCAGATTAATTGTATTCGGTTTAGAGCTTTGTGAAGATCAAGGAATGTAGATAATACGTGCGATTTTTTCATACTTTGAACATTCCCAAGGATAGACTATATGGTATTTAACTTACATGCTACCACGTCACTCTTATTTAGCAGACAGTTACGATGTAGTGTAACTAGTGTAGGCACATTGCGGTTTTCCACAGAATTAAAGTTACATGCTACCACGTCACATATTTAGCAACTAGTTACGATGTAGTGTTACCAGTGAAGGCGCCGTGCTGTTTTCCATAGAATCTAAGTTACATGCTACCACGTCACTTATTTAGCAACTAGTTACGATGTAGTGTAACTAGTGAAGGCGCCTTGTCACTGAATCAACATGAAGACAAGAGCAGTCGTTGGATGGCACGGTAACTTGTTAAGTGTACTGCTATGCTCAGCTGGACTAGAGATCCAAGCTCATAAGTCGTCTCTGAAGGCACTTGCGATTGATTGAATTATTTTTATTTTCTTTCTTGCGAATTTCGATTCTTGTTTCGGGGATGGAAGGAGCTGTGCGCAGGTGAAACTAGATTTCACAGCCTAGCTTTAGTTAGGTTGGCTTTTCATGCATGCGTTACATATCTATTGGTACATGTGTACACTGATAGGTACATTCTTCGTACACGTGCTGTACGTGTATGATAATTTTGCTATTGAAGTAAACATTCGCGACGGACGTGAAATATTCGAGCTATGAATTGCGTCTGGGCAAACGAAGGCAGCGTGTCAACGCATTTTATTGTTGTGAGTAATGACAGCTTTTACTACTTCTCGATCATCGTTGAATGTTATTTAGTATGGTTTCTTAATAAAAGTTATTCCGCTGAGCCCTTGCTATGTTTGCCATATAAATTAGATGGCCTCATTCGTGCCTATTGAGTTGTACATTTTTCTTTGTTTATCGTCGTGAGCTTAAACCTTATACATAAAAATTCCACGTTCTAATTAAATTTAGATTAATGCGCCTCTTGGGCCAATCACGTACTATGAGAGGATGAATGCATGGTCGAAAAACGATTGAAAAACAACCGAGCTTGTACGGTTGAATTACTGATGGTTTGTTTACGTTGTGTTCACAGCTCGAGGTCTGCGTAGCGTTCGTTGAGACGTCCTGCCTCACGACACAGCCTCTCCAGCTCCTGCACGTCAGACAATGTTGGACAATTACTATCGTAAACTACACATGAGGTTGGACAATTACTATCGTAAACTACACATGAGGTTGGACAATTACTATCGTAAACTACACATGAGGTTGGACAATTGCTATCGTAAACTACACATGAGGTTGAACAATTGATATCGTAAACTACACATGAGACGCCACTATACATATTTGCACTTACGTCGCCCCTTGACACGTATAATCTTGGTCACAACTACGATTTTTAAGGCTCGATAACCGCATGATGATTACTGAGCTGTTTTGAATCAAATGCGGACGACTTAAGTGCTGAGGCAAGGTTATCGGCATTGACGGTATATTTCCCGTATTAAACATGTTTCTGCTTCCTAGAGCATTGTTCTAGAGATTAATTAAATCTATTTCAACTATCGCTGCCATGCCTAAATATGTGTACTCGCGATCCTTCTGGAAACATAGTAGTCTGCTATTGTATTTTGTGATGAAGTTTCCGCAGAGAACCCATAGAAACTAGCACTCAGATCTTACCGCTTTTTGCACTAGGTTTTCAACTGTGCAAAAACATGACCACATCTGATCCAGAGGATCTGATCTGATCCAGCAGATAAGGTTCCAACCGTATCAAGTGTTTAACTCATTAATGGTTACGAGCGTTTTAAGTATTTAAAACATGAATTATATTACAAACTGACCTGATCTTTCTGGGCACGAAGATTATCCACGTCAGGCTCTCGGTAGTTCGAGTCTCTGGAAGGATCATCTGGCAAGCGCGCACGAGATCCTTTGTCGTCTTGCGGCTGTCCGGAACAATGAATTATTGTACGCAGGTTGTAAATTAAATTATAAATAATTATACCAATTAATAAATAATTGGTTTCATTATACCAATTATACCAATAAATTATTGTACGTAATTGAATACTAAACTAATTGAATCAACTATATTAAAATGCCTATTATCTAATGATGATACTTTAAGTTATCTATTGTTCAAAGAACATTTAACTTAACAATTATGTAGTTAAGGGGTTAGAATTCACATGGGTTAGATGTCATCAAATTAAATATGTGTCTAAAACAAAAAAAAATCTAGTCACGTTGTAGGATACATTATGTAAGGAAACTTATAGTATAAATGGTTAAATTTCACATTTTTTCTCATAAAAGAATGAGGACCTTGGGAAACTTGGTGGCAATGGCGTTCCTCCAATACTCGGTGGTCATCCCTGCGGGGTTGTCGCCCCCGCCCCCTATGACCTGTAGGCTGTCGCTGCCGCACGGGACGATCAGGGGTCTGTTGTAGTCTTGCGCCAGAGATTTCCTGGCCAACAGAATCTAGATTACTTTTTTCGCCGTTCACTTTTTTTTTATCTTGACCTTAATCTGAAACATCAGCGCATGCAGAGTGACTCCATATTTTTTCACTTTTTGATACTCTAGTTTTTTGACCAAAATTAGAGTTGCCTTGAATTCATTCACGATTATCCATTAGGCCACCGAAAAAAATACGAGGCTGTTCTGGAGGAGTTTGAAAAGTTTCAATATGCAGACTTGATGTCATTGGTGAATTCCGCACCAGCAATAGTAAAAATTATTCAACACTTTATTTAATAAATAATTAATTAGGAAAGTCTCTAATTCTTTATTTATCTGCTTCTGATGAAGCCTCGCGTTAACATTGGCTCAGGCTGGTCTACATTTTTATTGTTATCGTAATTATCAGCGTGAGATAAATTCAAATGAGATGTGTGATTAAGGTTGCACTCATCAAATTCACTTCACAGCCCATTTTAGAAATAATTTACTTTCTGAAGCCAGCATTGAGTCTATATTAACTCGGAGTTTACTAGTACTCGCATGGCTGACCAATTTTAATGACCACATTAATTGCATTTCTGTATGTTATACATTGACTTTTAATAGCGGTTTAATAATAATAGCGGTTTCAGCGTTATTAGGCCGTAGGCCTGTCGCCGATTCTTAAGATCGCAGAACATCCACAGCATTTTGAGGTCTCGAACTCTCAACTCACTGCTACAAATCTGCTGTGCTTAACCGCCCGGCCTCCTCGCCGATTCTGACCAGAAACTGGCGCACAGAGCTGGGATCGAACCCGCGCCTCTCTGCGCCAATCTTGGTACTCTGAACTTTAACCACTGGGCCACCCTGCCCTAACCACTGGGCCACTTTGGTATTACAAACCGAAATACGTGAATCTGTAGAATATTAAATGATAATTAGAATTTACATAGTTTCACGCAATTCATGTATTGGTAATATCTTGAAGTTCATTTATATCAATCAATATATCTGACAATATCACTCCCGCTGATAATTTGTGTAATTTGAACAACTCTTCGAACTCTTGTCTCTAATCTTGTGTTAGTTTAGCCATTGTTGTCTCTAATCCAGTATTAGTTTAGTCATTATTTACTTTCTTCAGTTTTATTAACCGTGATTACGATTATTGTACATGAATTAATGACTCACACTTCTGCAGACCCGAACCCGTAGTGCGACATAATTTCCTTTGCTTTCTTCACCAGCCCGCCGTCCCGTGACGAGAAGAACTGCAGCGCTGCACCGTTTGTGTGACACACGAATCTGGTAAAACAATAATTTTGAATTTTTATACACACTTTAGATGTATATAAACCTCATGAATAAAATGTGGCAGGCTGCACGTGTATCTAGCAGCAAAAAAAAAAAAATTTAAAAACGTGTTGTCGTGCACTTTAGGTGCTCAGAACATGGCTGTAACTCGCGAATCTAGCTACGAACAAATGTAAAAATTTGAATATTTATATATATTTCAATATTTGTATGTTCAAAACATTAAATGAGATAATGAGCTGGGAGTTTGGGCAACCAAAATCGAGCCCTTAATCCTTCCCACGTTGTCAAACATCGTGACAATGTGGGAATTTTATTGTGTATAATTCCCAATTTTATACGTGATGCAAATTTATGAAAATTTAGTATTCAAGGGACGACGTATATGACGTAAATTATTTGTCAAGATATCCCAGAGAGATTTTCCATCACGTGAAAACGATATTCGTCTTCCTATGAAAATTGAAATATTTATTACAATTTTATCAGTAACGTACCGTTTTTGCGAATTCTCATTTATTTACACGAAATGTCACCACACTCATAACGTTTTTGCATGATGCATCAAGTGACGAATCCAGAGAATATGCAACCTTACGAAGGAAATAAATCTTACTCATGACATTTTCTGATAAATTCAGAGGATATACAATCTTACGAAGGAAATAAATCTCACTCATGACATTTTGTGATAAATCCATAGAATATGCAATTTTACGAAGGAAAAAATCTTAATTATGACATTATGTAATTCCTGACAGAATATATATGACAGAATATATAACACAAAATATGTAATATAATATATAAAATATTATTGTATTATATATTCTGACAGAATATAATATAATATATACAACAGAATACATAATTTCTGACCTGAGGCCGCGACACAAGACCTTCTTGCTGTCAGGCTCCAGGTCCTGGAAGATGTCGTACTTGCCCCCCACCACCACCAGCGGCACCGGGAAGGGTTCGATGCGAGCTCGATCCTGACAGCAAGAATCATGCCCGCACTTATATCACGTGCAAACACTTTGGTCTTTAAATCTCTTCCTACTATGCTGCTGACTAACTATGGATTCTTTATCCAAACATTATCAAAATTTACTTTTTTGGGGTAGGAATATTAAAAAAATAAAGCAAAAGTGAACATTTTTGGCATTAGCTAGGAAGGTTCATCACCCTCCCGATGTTCATCACCCTCTCGGTGTTCATCACCCTCCCGATGTTCATTACCCACCTGATGTTCAGCCCCAACGCGGGCCCACGCCTCCTGCTGGAGACGACTGGCCAATGAGGGGTCCAGGACGCTCGCCTTCTTGACTGCGTCGCTTATCTCGGACTGCGGGCAAGACGGTACGCTGTTACAGCAAACAAATTATCAGTAGCCTTCTTTAGAAGGAAAACTCAGCAATACAATGATGTACCTGCATTTCATGATATTCTAACGAATAAAACTCATCGTCCTACTGTTCTATTTTGAGCTCAATTATTAATATTGATTATTTTAATATTTTATCATCGTGCCGGATCCTTATATTGGATCATGTGTCGTTTCCCTCGCAATGGCATCACCGTAGCCATATGATTGACGTCTTTTCTATATAATATATACCGGGACGAACCCTACCGGGTCTTTTGCTAGTCACGCAAGGGATCGATTATAATGCTGTCCCACACAGTGGAGACCGTCCCAATCTAGAGCATGTGGTATATGATGAGCTGTTCCTTGCGTAAAGATATCATGATCCAACCCTATATCAATGAACATATAGTACATATTAGAGAGGTTAATAGATCCTCGCTACAGACCTCTTTTCCATGAAATGAAAATGAAAAGAGAGGAGTCCGCTCGCTACAGAACAATTTATTCAAGGAACTTCCACAATAGTTCGACATCACGACCGTGCAAGAACACTCACTTTGAGCTTGGCAATGATGGTGACGAGTTCATCATAGGCAAGTTCTGGACGTGACAGATCCAACACCACGACGATGGCAAGGCTGTTGAGGCTGCAGCTGGAGATGACCGTACTCAGCAGCTGGTCCATAGTTCCACTTGCCAGCTCCCACAGGTGGCACACGTCTTTAACCTGCATACAGCGGTGTATAGATGTGATTCCAACTTCTCGTTCAATTAATTAGAAAACATTTACATGATCTAAAAATGTACACCAATGGAGAAGAATAATACTTCCCCAAAATTAAAACAATAGCTCGATTAGATTGAGAGAACTGAGACAGATTTGCAGTAACTTTAATGTGTATTTACTCCTGCATTTCGTTTGAGGAAAAATCTCAAGTATCACATCAAGACGTGAAATAAAATACGCGAAATGCATAAAAAATTCCATAAATATGGATCAGATGAAATTTCGAAGATAGACCACTCTGACGTACCATTGAGATACGTCCCTGCTTCCTGCCGTACATATAGTCGATGGCGAGCGTCGGCTTCGGGGTCTCAGTACGGTCAAGGAAGTTGTACATGAGCGTTGTCTTCCCCTGTAAGAAAACGAAATCAGGCCTTAATAAGTTTATTAATATTTACCATATTATTTAATGCAAACTATAATGAATTATTCTCAGAATTAAGTATAATCAACCTTATAATGAACTCAGAATCCTCACCGCCGATTTAGGGCCGACAAGCAGCAGCGACGCTTGTCGAGGCTCTTTATCATCTTGGCCATCTTTTCCCGAGTTCGATTCAGCTTTTGTTTCACTAGCCAGATTCTCTGGAACAGCCGGGCTTTTTGTGATGTTTTCTGAGGACCACTTGCGTTTGGCTTTATTTTTTTCTGATTCACTCTCCATTTTCCCGAAAGTTTCGTCCTCATTTTGAGCGTTGATCTCGTTAGTGTTTTCGCGGAGTTTACGGTCGCTTGATTTATTGTAGGACAGAGAGTAAATTCCTCTTCTACCTGCTGACTTTACGGCCTCGTTGTTTCCAGATTTATTCTTTTCTTGAGAAGAGCGTCGCTTCAAACCTCCTTCTGCATTACCAAGGTGTTCTTCCTCATCATCTTCAGCCTCTTCAGGCACACTTGTTACGTTTTTCGGCAAACCACTGCCTTTTCTACGCATGCTACTTCTGAGAGATCTACCTGCCATTTGAAATTCTTCATCTTTTTTAAATCCTTGATGCTCGTATCCCTCCATTTCTGAAGAAGTGTGGTCTATAGGTTGAATTAATTGTTCTGCTGAATATGGACTGGAATGTAATTGGGCTGCGGAATGGTTTATTTTTTCATCTTCTTCAGTAGCAGATTCTTGGTGAGATTCATGTTGAGTCTCGTGAAAATCCTGTTGATCCTGAACTTGTAGGTTTAATCTACTGGCAAATACGAACGCTTTTGCATTCGCCGGGACTTCTTCTTCCTCCTCACTATCGTTCGTCACCTGTCCAGAACCCTCCGGCTCTTCTTGAAACTTCGCGCTTGTTAAATCTCTGAGAGTACCGTGAGTTTCGCTTGCAGGAAGTTCGTTCGTGAAAAGTTCTGGCTCAACGTTATCTTGATAATTAATTAGCGCTTCGTTACTTGATTGCTGGTCCTGATCACTTATTCCATTATATACCAAGAAATCTCCAGTATCAACTTGATGTTCGATGTTTTCTGCGTCCTCGTTATCTTGAGTTGCTATAGGCTCTACGTCTCCAGACTTCTGACCTTGTTCAAATATTGCATTATTGAACAAAGAATCTGCAGCATCAACTTGGTATTCGAAGTTTCCTGCGTCCTCATTATCTTGAGTTGCTATAGGCTCTTCATCCCCTGACTTCTGGCCATGTTCATCTATTGTATTATTGAACAAAGAATCTCCAGCATCAACTCGGTGTTCGATGTTTCCTGCGTCCTCATTATCTTGAGGAACTATAGACTTTTCGTCCTCCGATTGCTGATCCTGCTCACCGAATTCATTATAAGGAAGAGAATCGCCATCTACAATATTGTGTAGGAGGTTTTCAACGTCATCGGCTTCGGCGGCTTGATTTATAGATGCCACCGAAAAGGCAGTGGGCGGTCGCGAATTCCTAGAAAAAAATTAAGACGTCACCAAATAGGCAAAATCATAAAAATCAAATTACTGGCTTAATTGCATCAAAACGAATTCAGAATGCAGTAAGCAGACGAAACCGAACGATCAAATCGCCAAAAATGAGAACATGGTTGCCGCACGGGAAGGACGAGCTCACACTAACGTGCTAGATCGATGACACTAGTGACTGAGTATCTTGTTTATCCCTACCTGTATTAGAGAACAACACAAGTTGAACAATGTCCAGTAGACAATGAAGGCGTAGTTAAAACATTCGTATTTCTTTCAATCTTAGAATATTCAATATTCATTTGCAAGAAATAGTTAACAGAGCATTTACACTGATATAAAATAATAAAATTCTGCATGGCTCTCTCTATTAGACTATTAGATAAGTACACTTTCGTTATAATTACATTTGATGAAGAAAAGACTAACCTTGAGACCATTTTATCCTGTTGTCCTTTCTGCATGAGAAGTAGAACTATAGTGACAAGAAGTTGAAAGGGGTTTCCAAGGTAATGATCGATTGACTTGCATTGTTGACCGATGCATTTTACTGTGAACAACAATGGTCACTTTATAATGTGGAAAAATCACAATGTATCAATTTATATGAGCTTTCTGTTTGAACACTGGAGTATTTTATATTTCTAGTAAACATGACAGAGAAATAAAATAATCAAAAATTTATTACACAAATTCATGCAAAAACACAAAAGTCATCTTAAAATGAAAGAAGAAACACTGAAGAGACAAATTTATTATATTTTACTGATTTTTTAGTTCCCTGAACAGATAAATGGTAAAATTCTGATACATGAAGCGAATTAAGTTATTTGCACAACACATTTTTTCCTTTATTCATTCCAATCTATAACTAAAATTTTGCCGTGTGAGTGATAAACCTTGGGTGTAAACTGTAAACACACCTAGTAAGTGTTTCCGTGATGATTACCAGTCGTGTGCTGTCATTTAACTTCATCGATGACAGCGATGTAGCTCCACCGTCCACCTTATTAAAAATAATGACCTTCACCGTTATTTGTGAATGAGTTATTTGGCTAGTCTGAGTTTTAAAAACGTTTTTATTGTCTAAAAATGAACATCTCTAACAAATTAAAAAGAGTTAAAGCGCAAGCTGATCATCTGTTTCTCAGGTAAGCATCGTCAGCTAAATAATGATAAAATCTAGATCAAAGCTATGCATAAGTACCTAGGTAAGTGGATTTTAATCTGAAAATATTAATTGATATTCAATAAGACATTGTAGTTTTCTGCAGGCACTTTTTGTGAATTAAAGTTGGAAGTAAAGACCTGAAAACAAATTTTCTCCTATTTAGGAGAACCTATTTAGGTTCTCCTAACATAGTGGCAAACCAGAGATTCTTTGGAATCAGTTCATTTTTAATTTCCTCATCTACTCAAGATTTAAAACAATTTCTTGTGTATGATAATGCTGGTATCCAGGATACTTTACTGGTCTACTTATATATTAGGCCTTTAATGCCCATTGACAAAATTTTTCTATGTCAAATAGTTTTTGAGTTGTGGGGGTTTTTGTTAAAAAAATGAAAAGTGGTCTAAGTTACCCCGCCGGTCTAAGTTAACCCATTTTACGGTACCTATATATAGGTACCTATTTAGGCTATTGGCTGTATTGCCAATGCTGAATGCCAGCAGCTAGCCAGCTACCTATACTGAATAGTATAGGCTATACTAGGCAGTAGGCACTAGTGACTAGCCATAGTGGCAAAGCAGAGAGTTTTTTTAGACTCCTTCAAGTTCAATTTGAGTCCTATAAGTAGACCAGCAAAGTATCATGGATACCAGCATCATCATACATAAGATATTTTTCAAATCTCAAATTAATGAGGAAATTTAAAATGAACTGATTCTAAAAAATTTATAGTTTGCCACTTTGGCACTAGCCCAAGTCAAGTCAGGGCGTCAGGCTGAGCACTAAGGGGAAATTTTAGCAGAAGCTGCCTGTAAAATGGAAAACACGCCTCTGACTCTTGACTAATTTTACTGTTCCTATGGCTTCTCCTGATTTTGTCAGTGAAAAATCAGAATAACGGCCTGTTTTTATCCTCAATTTTTTAGAATTACCTGAGAGGCTGAGTATAGTGAGTACTGAGTAATAATGATTGTTCTTATCTACAATTTTTGGAATTTTTAGCCCAATACCTATTCTAAATTGGTTGGTTTGCTAGTTAGCTACAGATGGTTTTTTTCTGTTTAATCTATTCTGAATTTGTTTTAATGCAGTTAAGCAGTTAAGCCATAAGCAATTGAGAAGTCTAATCTGAGTTATTAAATAGTGAGGTAGAACTTTATTAAATTATGAGCAATTTAAAATATTGTAGGCAAAAACTTCCTGACATCCTTTTTTCTTTCCCAGACAGAATTTTCCTAAAGGAATGGGTATAAATGATTGTTTCACTAGCAATTTATATGGCAGGTAAAATTGGAATATTTTTATCTTTCTCTGAATAAATATATATGGAAAATGAACAGGTAAACCTAAACTTTGCCAGTTGGCCTGATTCATGGTGTTTTTGTCTGATTTATGGGTGGTTTCTGCCATAGCCCATATTTTGTACTTTGGATTGGAAAAGGTTAGAATAACAATAAGCCAACCTTACTAAAAACTGGGCATAAAATATCCGTGAATTAGATGTAAATGGCTGTGAATCTGGCCATTCACAGCCATTTACAAATGGCAATTTTTATTGTTTCTGTGGCTTTTTCCTAATTTATACTGTAAAAATTAAAAAAAAAAAGTTTTTATCTGATTTTTATTGTTTCTGTGGCTTTTTCCTAATTTATACAGTAAAAAATAAAAAAATGTTATTAGCTTATTTTGTTTAAATCACCTGTGAAAGTCATTTTTATCTGTGCTTTTAGAAAAAATTTCACATGCAATTTATTTGCTGATAAAAATAGTTTTTTTTTTTTTTGCACTGAAGAAATTGAGAACGGCTATAAAATCAGGCGTGGAATATATCTACCTGGCTTGCCACAACTGAATTTTTTGAGCTGTGTTTTTATGGATTTGCCAGCCGTGATTCTATTTCTTGGAGCCGTTATTTAAATTTTTTCAAGCCGTGAATTCTATACATTAGCCATTAAAAGCCATTTATGAGCCTGCAGCCGCAATACTTTTGCAAAGTCTTGTAAACTTGTTGCCTCTAATCTCTAATTTTACCCTATAAACTGTCAACACTAACATTTGTCTTCACTTAAGTGGCAACTGATCACGTGATAATGCAGTCTGACTGCTCTGACCGTCTGACGTGACTGCAACTACGCAATCTTTATTAAGGAAAGTTTTACATTGACTTGTTGTAATTACTATGGTTGAACTAGTATAAGGTTGACCCGTCAGAAGCCCATTTTTGCGGATGTAGTTTATTGTTTGCCTGTGACGTTGTTGCGGTCTGGTCAGCAGGGGTTCACAAAAGCTATGTGAAGATTAGCTCAATCACCCTAAGATATAATACCTAGCTATCTCTACCTCCAACCCTGAGAACAAATTTGGGACAATGAAACGCAGTACATTCCCAAACAACACTATACTTAAGCTAAGAACAAAGTCAAGAGCCATTGGTACAGGATAATGTCTAGGGCACCAAATATCATTCACAGGATAAGCAAGGCAACCACCCTCCAGAAGAAAATCCCGGAGAGGTGACTGCAGTATTACGTTCAAGAGCCGAATTTTACAATATGGTCCAACTTTGCGGTAAACAATTTTAAACAGAACATCCTAACTTGTGACACAAGGGAATCAATATTACAGTAAGATAAGCAATAGCCTAGAAGTCTTGGTTGGCACGGAGACAAATAAAGGTCCTGGAAAGGAGAGCACCATAAGAAATGGCGGTGATTCCTCAACAGTAGACTAGCACAGTAAGAGCAGTCTTTACCTGGTCCATGGATCACCCTGATGTATAGCACTAAGGCAGTGTAGTTGCATCACTCTCTTAGACACCACAGGCACACCCAGGCACTCCCCCTCACAACAACACCCCAGGTACTCACCGGTCTGGTAGAAGGGTTCCACAGAAGGTTACTGACCACAGGTGAAACGTACTGAGTAGCAGGAACCAGGAACCTCAATAGAGGCAAGGACTGTCAGGACACTCACCATGTCTTCACGTGAGTTAAAAAAAACCTAGACATTAGCAATAGGACAAGAAATGAGGGTTACATTGGCTGAATAATAATACTGATTAATGCTCTTATTCAACTTGGTCACCAGACTAATCTATCAATAAGGTTTGTTAACTAACGGCAAGAAAGTCTCTGGCTAAATAAGCATATTAAAACAGAGCCTTGGTTGAATATGATTACTGACTAGTGAAATACAGAAAACAAGCACCAATATCAATGTCTAATCCTAGTTCGCAATACTGGAATTGAAAGTGATGGATGCTAATAATGGGCACACATATGAATGAGTCATCTACTAACACTATCTGCCAACAATTAAATCACTACAATCACATCACTTGTTGGTCGCACAACTGGTTAACTAAATCACTGGTGGTCTGAAAGTCTAAGCCCCATTGTACTTAAAAGAGTCAGCATCAGGCAGGTATTCGTAGTGACTTGCAAATAGGAGTTTAAACAAGTGTATCCAAATGAAATCGCTTAAGACTTGCTCATGAACAGGACTAATATGCAGCTAGCTCAGTTAGTTAAGTAATGATACCAAAGCCTAGGTTGACATTTAAACAATGAGCTTCAGCAAGGTGATCTTCAAGGAGCTGCAGTTTGGAAGCTGAGATGACTCAGGACAGGAAGGTCAGGACTGGGCAGGTCTGGGTTCCAGGTCTTCTCAACAGCGTGCCAGCTGGGTCCCACACCAACTGCTCCTATCAAATTAACAAGTACAAACTTTAGAAGTCTACTACCCTTGGTAGTGAATAAAAATTCCTACTTCAGGTAGGTACTGTGGTTAACTTTAGCAACAAGGATTGAAGCTTTAGCAAGAATCAGGACAATAACACAGTAAAATAAAGCAAGGAAGAACACAAAGCAGAATGCAAGATTTAACAGCTGTTTTTCAAATAAAACAATGTAAACACTCGAAAGTTAATTTATACTTAATATAGCATATAAATGTTCACCAAAATCACAAGCCAATTGGTAGCAATCAAATTGAAGCATGATAATGGACAGATTGGGAAATTTCTGCCTAATTTTTCCCATTCACCACAAACTCACCATTAAAGAGCAGTGAAATTGCCTTGGAACAGGAGTACGCAGGAGAACCAGTGTAGTTTGGCAAGCAGGTATAAGGTGACTTCAAGCAAAGGATGCAGGCATTGATGAAGTTAGGTAGTTAGGCATAAGTTTAACAAACCATGCTGGTGTGTTATGAATGCAATGAAGCTTTACACTGACAAATGTTGGCTGTAAGTAATTGGGTAGGCCAATAACAAGGATATAAGTCTGAAACAAACACAGAAAGAAAGAAACACAAACAGTATTAACAACAAAGTTAATGAAAACCACTCCTTCCTATAAAAGAAAGCAATAAAAGGTTGCATGATCTAAAATGTCATGATAAATCATAGGCCTAGCAATGAAAGTTATGCAAGAGACTGGAAGTTTAATAAGAAAGCTAAGAGGGGCAGTCTGCTCCTCTTCAACGTCACAGGCATTAACCAATCACCGAAATGCGATCAAACCAGTCAACCAATCCATCATGGGAATGACGGTTTGTTTATGTTTCTCGATCTATGTGACGTAACAAGAAAGCTGAACTGAAAGACAGAACTTCTCTTGGGTGAACCTTATATGGTTCAAAAATGGTAATTATGTTGTGCAGGATATTTTGGCAGGATCATAAAAGTATTGCCGATTGTGGAAGTTGAAAATTTTATGAAGATTGAAGTGACACATTTGCAGAGTGCAAACTGCGATTTTTTTCAATGAAACAAAAATAGGTACATGACATTAGAGCCACGTGATTTCATACCTACTGAAATTATATGATATTAGAGCTGCAATATTTCAGTAAAAATGGGACTTTTCCAGCCCTGCATAAAATGATTGAAACTGGCCAGATTCAATGCTGTTTGTCCAATTCATGGGAGACTTCTGTTCAATATTCCAGAGTGCCTATAAGTTGCCATTTAAAAGAGCTATTCTTTGATGTTCAATGATTAAGACATGACCAGATTTTTCTGGTCAATATTCTGTCCAATTGCCAATCTGGGAAATTAAGCTAAAATTTCCAAAAATTGTGGGTAAAAACAATTGTTTCATGGGTGATCTTGACAAATTTCTGGCTACAATGTGTTATTGTCCATTTTCTACTGAAAAAATTTAAGAATGGACATTTTTTTATATTTTACTTTCCTTTTGAGTTCCAAGAGTAAATCAGTAAAATACTGTTGATACCAGCATTATCAAGCACAAGATTTGAATGAAGTCTTTGAACAGAATTGCAGTGCAGTATTGACATTGATGTGCCAGTTGGACAGTAATATCAAAGCATTTGCATTTCTTCATCAAGTATGATGGACCATCAATCTCACCTGTACTTTACAGCTCTTTGCCCTTGCTTAGTTTCATCCCAGGCAATTACTATTATATTATATTACTATCTCTTTCTTATTGCTTGATTTTATTTATTCTCATAGAATTAAATTAGTGCTAAATTTTTCTATCTTCTTCCCAGGGGAGAGAAGACAGATGTGGTTGGGGAGCTCCGTGATGCTGAGAACAAGGCTGACAGTCTCCGTGTCATGTGTGAAGCTCTCAAGTCAGCCATTGAGAAAACTCTCATCACCCACAACACCCCTGAGGACAAACGAATGGTTTGAAGATTTTTTAATCAAATATATTTTTTAAGTTACTCAAGTTTTGAATTGAAAGTGAGGAATGCAAAGTAAATTTAAAATATTTGAATGTCTCCTCTCATTATTTATTCCTCTTATCAATAGGCAGTATATATGCTATAATTCTAGGTAATTCAGCATGATAAGTGCTTTTAACTGTCACTTGATATAAAGACAACAGAATTATGCACTTTCATTTATTGACAGAATTTTTTATTATTGTGCTATTTGTCTTCAGCGCAAGTTGACTGAAAGCAATGGGTCAGAAATTCTCAAAGATGTCCTCAACCAACTTTCTTCTAGTGCTACTCAGGACTCAAACATGCTCTCTGAACAGCTTCTCCTATGGTAAGACTTGAGTGATGGAGCCTATGTGCATGAATGTAAATAACATTTGTTTGTGTATCATTTTTTGATTCTATAATTTCAAGGAATAAATCATGGAAATATTAAACATTTTATTTGAGGTTAGTTGTTGATTAAATTATGAACTAGGTTGATTCAAAGTTGGATTTGATAAGATATTAATGTTACTTTATCATTTTTTTTGATAATATTCTGTATCAGTTGCACTTTTTTAGCTTTGATATGCCAGATGTTTAATATGTAGCAGGTTATATGAGAGACATGACCTCTTGATTACTAGTCACTAGTGCAAGATGTTATACCTACAAAGAAATATTACCAGGAGTAGTGACTCAGGTGGAAGCAGTAGCTTGGCCTTTGGACAACTTGTGTGACTGCCTGGTATCTTTAACATTTGTGACATTGACAGTAAGCTACTATGTACAATTCTAAAATTACTACTTTGAAAAAAAAAATGACTCGTTTCTTGTACATATATTAGGACATTTCTGGTAATACACGTAATTCACAAATTTAGCATCTCACAGTGAAATAAACTACATATTTTAATAGAATTTTTCTGAGAGATGCGTGTCATAAAAATTTCACAACATATGAAAAAAGATTAACTTATTTATCTCGTCGGAAACAAGAGGTAATATAGAAAATTTGGCAGCTTTAGTGTTCATTGTATTGATAATAATATCATTACATACTTTAAGTCATATTATTCTTCATAATATTAGGTTGTATCCAAACCATTTTTGTCAAATTGGTTGGTCACAGCTAAAAGCTTAAATTAAATGTCTACTTTCTTTTCCTTCATAAATATATAACTTTTCACTAGTATTAGATGTTGTTTTTTCATTGGGTTGTTATGCCCTCAGGAGCATGCTGGAGCACACAGTGGAGTGCCAACAAGCACTAAATCTTGAAGTGCTGAAGCATGACGAAGAAATTGAAACAAACGTTTTGTCTCACCTCAATAAACTGATGAAGGAAGATTTTGCCAGCTATTCTAAAATGAAAAAGTTATTGAAACAGGTATCCTTCATTTCATCTCTCTTGATATTTTTTTCATAATGGTGTTGATTTTCACTCCTATCTCATGTTATATTGACCTCTGGATATTTTTTGCATTATTAATGTTGCATCTTGTGAGTAACTTGAAAACTGTCTGCACCTCATGTTAGGTGCTCTTATGAATATTAGTAACTCTCATATGAGTCAAACGCTCTTGTCTTGACCAGAATGGACAAGATTTTGGCCCAAGATAGTAGGACTTTCTACTTTGATGTGATGAACATTTGTAACACTTCTTAGTGTAAACGTATAATAAGTGAATGACTTGTGTTCAGTATGGACCAGTTTTTGGCCCAAGATAGTAGGACTTTCTACTTTGATGTGATGAACATGTGTAACACTTCTTAGTGTAAACGTATAATAAGTGAATGACTTGTGTTCAGTATGGACAAGTTTTTGGCCCTAGATAGTAGGACTTTCTACTTTGATGTGATGAACATGTGTAACACTTCTTAGTGTAAATGTATAATAAGTGAATGTCTTGTGTTCAGTATGGACAAGATTTAGACACAGCAAGAAGTCGGTACCGCAGCAGTGCCATGCCGTCCTCCACTGCTCCCTCCCTCAAGCTCGAGAGCTACAAGGAGGAGATGGACGAAGCTGAGAGCAAGCTGGAGCAGTTCAGGGTGAGATTACATGTGAACAACCTCTTTACATTTCTGACTCAACATTACATACCAGGTAATGCATTCATGACTCCACCCAGTAGTAATCCAATCAACACAGCAGCCTTACAATTTTTCTGATATTCTTCTGTTAGCGCATTTTCTCATTTTTCATTTATGAAAAAAATGCACTATTGTGCTCGCCATGTCCGTCCGTCTGTCTGTCCGTCCATGACTTCACGTTTTCGTCGACGAGAAAATGCACTCTCTGTCACTCGCTGCAGTGAGTGACAGAGATCCATGACTGCACATGAGGTCCATATAACGTATTACTTACCCTGCTGAGGTGCCAAATTCTACTCTCATAATAATGTTTCATGATTATACTGAAACTATTTTGAAACTAGTTCTCCTAGGAATATATATCATTTTATTCTTATTTGATTCGAACTTGCTAGCAATTTGTGATATTCATCTTTTTTTCTGCTGTTGAACAACTCCCTATGTTGGTTTATTGTTACTATATAATATTAGCTGCAATAATGCTTTTAATGTGTTATTTAAAAATCTGATAAATGTTAATCTAATATGCAGGATCAATATGCATCTGAACTGTACGTCCTACTTGCTAAAGAACGCTTCATCTGTAACCTGGTGAAGCAATATCTGGTGATCAGGCAAGACTTCTACTCATTCTCCCAAAAAACCTTTGACAACGCTTTGCCACACATCCTTGAGAGACTTGAAAACAGCACCCAAGGCCCTGTGTTTGGTTGTTGTCTTAACGAACATCTTGTCATTACTAGAAGGGTGAGTAATTTGTGCTGCTGTGTACTTTACTCACTCTGAATCAAATCTAATTACTTGTGATATAATTCTAAATAACTAATATGATGAGTAATTTTGAGTACTACCTCCATTGTCATGATGAGCTAAATACTTGAAAAATTAAGATTATATAAGTTCTTGTTAATTACAGACTCTCGCTCTACCACTGGAAGTGTGCGTCAAAAGGCTGGTTGAGGTTGGTCTCCTTGAAGAAGGTTTGTTCCGCGTCGCAGGCAGCGCCACAAAAGTGAAGCGTCTCAAGGCAGCTTTTGATGCCAACACAATAGACAGCTCCTCCTTTGCCTCTAGTTCTACTGACGATTGCCATAAGGACGTCGATGTGCACGTCGTTGCTGGCGTCTTGAAATCCTATCTTCGTGAGCTACCTGAGCCTCTGCTCACCCATACTCTCCACTCTGAGTGGCTTGAGGCAGCCAAAATACCTGACCGGGACGAGAGTCTGCGCAAACTGTGGACCGTTGTACAGAGGCTTCCTAAGCCTAACCTACAGAATTTGAGTTATTTCATGCAGTTTTTGTCTCTTCTCACTCAGTACCTGCCATACAATAAGATGACGCCAAACAACCTCTCTATCGTTATCGCTCCTAACCTCATCTGGAGCCCTGATGAGAACATGACTGAGAACATCATGAGCAGCACTTTAGGCCGTAATATGAGCTATGGCAATTATTACCGACAAATTGTTGAAAAGCTCATTGAAAACTCCGAGTATTTCTTCCCTGATAGAATTAACTTCGATGTGCCAAAATTAAGTCTGCCCAAACCTCCCGAAACTCCTTTGGATGGTGTGGGCAATGAGAGCGTGCCAAGTGTGGCTGGCAACACTGGAGGTCACGTTGCAGGATCAATGCATAAGAGGAATAAAAGTGCCGATTTGAGCAGACTTGACATGAGTGTGCTTGTGAACAACTTCGATGTTAGAGAGCAAGATAGTCCCAAGCACCCATTGAGACGGAAGAAACAAGCACCTCTGCCTCCTCAAGGGACCAAAATTGTGGACCAGAGCGGCGATAATTCATCATCTTCTTCACCTGAGCAGTCGCGTAGTCAACAGTTGGTTCCTACCCGCGAAGCTCCCACCCCTCAGCGCGTCTACCCCGGCCTTCCCAACTCTTCATCCACAAATGATGCCAAAATCATGAGCAAATCCACCGAGGGCTTGTTCAACAGCCCCAATCCTCCAGTACCCGCCGTTCGCGCGTATGGAACCGTGCGTACGGCCAGCGTGCGTAAGCCCAACAGACCAAGTATAGAACCTCCCAAGCCTCCTGTGGTGAGGCTCCCTGAACCGTCAGCCGACGGCGGTGGTGCATTAGGGAGCCATGTTGTCGGACTCCAGCCGACTGGGGGTGTGGGAATTAACGCCTCTGTGGGAGCTAGTCACAGTTCAGGTGCGGAAAAGAGTTCTGGCACGAACCCGTTAGGTGTTCAGGATGGAGTGAGAGCCCCGAATGCAGGTCCAGCTACAGACATTCAAGCTGTGGTCAAACCTCCTCGCCCCAGTCCTCCTCTATTGTCTAATTTAGAGAAATCAGCTTCGGCTTCTCACGTTCTTGAAAAAATTAATGCTGTTCAGCTGCCAGCCAAAGGCTCGTTGCAAAATTGTGATAAAACTCTTGGAGGGGACGACAAGGTGCCTGCTGCTACCTGTATTAATCCGTCATCAACTGGTCCCATTGATACCCAGCATCCCTCACCTGCCCAACGAGCCCAAAAAGAAGAGAACCAGGCTTCCTCTTCTTCTTCTCAGCATGGCCTCTCTTCTTCTCAGGCTGCCTCGTCTACTTCTCAAGGTCCTTCCACTACTCAGTCTGCCTCTTCCGCTTCACAGGCTCCAATAGGCTTTGAAATTATACACAATGAAATGCAGGAAACTTCTGAAGTTGAATTGAGACGTCCGACTCAAGCCCCTTCCGAAGATGCTGGGCATAACACCAATTTCAAAGCCCCTCTCTCATCCAAGGAAATGTTCAGAAAATCTCTGGAGAATATAATGCAGGAACAGAGCTCATGTCCGCCCGTTGCTTTGCCACGACACATCGACACCAGTGACGAGCATGACAAGAACTCGCAAGTCTCAGCTGCTGACGGCCAGCTGGCGAGTCATCCTATACCTGCTGCCAGGACCATCAAGGATGTTCTGCTGGGCGCTGCCAACGATAAGCCTGAGCTGGCGGTGAGTGTTAACGTTGCAGGAATTTTTTTCAATTTTTCCCTTGATATTTCGGTGCTACCAGAGCACCGATGTTTCCTGGCCATAACAAATGAATTGTGTTATAACCTTTTGTCTTGTTATAACATTATTGGATCTATCCATTTTTATGAAAAACTCACCTCATGGTAGTTCTATGCTGTATTATCAAACACTTATTTACACTAGCCATATCTAATAAATTGTAAGTGTTAATTGGCCTGATGTACTCACAGACACGCGTCGACAAACCCGCTCTCCCTGAGAAGCCCATGACGCTTCCTCGGCCTCCTTCTTCGGACCGTCCTCCTCTCGCGCCTCGCCCCTCGTCCAACCCCAACGTAAAGTGTCTGGGCTCCCCAGCCCCACCCCTAGACCCTTCATCCTCTTCAAACTCCAATGACGGGGAAACGTGCTATGCTATTCTCCCCACAGAGACATCCTCCAACAGTTCTCCCAGTCCCTTGGGCCGGAGGACAACTACTGAAGACCTGACGGCGTTCGCTGACGGACATAATTCTGTATCAAGTGATAAGTCAAGTGAGTTCTCTAATGTTGTGCGATGTATCTACCCTTTCTTTTTTACACTCTGATATTATTCACATTTAAGTTACACGTCATCACCTGAGCTGTATTGCTTCTGTTTATGTAATTTTTGCTTAATGTTCCGGACTCAGACGCTTCCGATTTATTGAACCCAATTTACCAGAAGGTTCCTGCTGTCATGGCTCAATTGTACAATCATTTCTCCTCTGCCTGTCCTCACTCGAGTAAGATCACGTATGTGGGCGAGTCTCTCGCTTAATTATTATGCACCTGTACACCTTTCTTTCGTCAATGTAAACCATGGCACGCCTCCTTATTGTTCACTTTCATGTGCGGTTTACCATGTTGTTTTTTGCACTTTTGTCATAATATTTCAGCATTAGTGGAAACTCCCCCAATAATGAACTTCCCAACCACAATTTATGCCTTAAAGTGAAAGTGAAATGCCGGAAAATCCTGATAGCATGAGTTCCGCATGTTTTATTATACAATTGTTCCACGTCAGTTTAGTTAAAGAATTGAAAAATCACAAACTATGTTAGTTGAATCTCGTCTGAAACAATGTCTTCGTTCGTTCTAATTATCGAATAATGCGTGAAATCAACTGAAATTAATTGGCAATCTGTCAGTAAGTTTTTTTGCCTCTTTTTGTGAATATTTATGTGTACCTCGTGGAATTTAAAGTTCTACGTAAACTGAATGCAGATTTAGTGCGATTGTCTAGACTAGATTTAGACCTTTTGACTCCGTTCTTTTAAATATTGTTAATTATATCATTGGTTTAATCTAAAAGAATAGTTATGCATGACCGGCTTAGAAGTTCTTTTCATGGTAGTGTACTACTTTGCTACCATGCGTTTTCATGGTAGCAAAGAAGTGATATCTTTGTTTGCTGCTCTGAACGTCTGGCGAGAATCAGATTCGTTTGCATATCAAAATTTTCTCTCGACATATAGTGACATCTTGCAAGTTGTTTAGTTCACCATAAGCCCCATTGCAAATCCTTCGTTTGCTACCATGATCATCCTTCTGTTGCTGTGCTTCTGATTTGTGTTGGGATGCTGCTTCATGATTCTAGATGTGCGTGTTGTGTTGTACTTGCAGGCCCAAGGGCTAGTCTATAGCTCCTGCCTACGGCTGCTCCCAGTATCCCTGCTGCTGTCGTCCTCTGCCACGGTATGTTGTCACGGCTCAGACACGATGTATCGGTGATCATCTTTCTTAATCTTATTGTCAATGCTTTGTAGGCAATTGTATTGTCAATGCTTTGTAGGCAATTGTATTGTCAATGCTTTGTAGGCAATTGTATTGTCAATGCTTTGTAGGTAATTGCCTTTTGGCATGGAGTTCTGCGTAATGATTTGGGTTGCCGAACCACCTCAAACCGAGTAGCTATTCTACCAACCCTGCGAATAGATAACTTCTGTAGGTTATCTGGAGGATCCTGAAACGGCTTAACTCTTAAAAAAACTGTGTCTTTCCAAAGTAGCTCAGCTTTGTTCTAGTCCGTATAATTCCCTTGATGCAAATTCTACAATCATTATCATGATTTTCGAGTGAAAACGGGCACTACACTTATGTTAGCCCTCAGCATTACGGAATCACTTCCTGGTAACCTAAATACTGCAGGCTATAGCGAGTCGCTTACAGTTATACCGTTTTGCATATTTGTTGAAATTATCGCTGATAATTTTCTGTTAATGAATATAATATTCACTCATAAATTTCTTGCGTCAACTTGCTTCTTGTGAAGTGCTATTTATTGCGCGCCAGATGTGAGCTCAACGCTATGCACATGCACACGGTCGCTTATGTTTTGGTGCGCGGTGTGATCTCGTTTTGCTTCCTTTAAGCAAAACCTAATTCTAGCTGTTAACCTGATATTTGGTAATCTAAGTGTTCCTGAAACTAAATTCTATTGGAATTCTCGCGTGATCATAATATTTTCATTAGTAACTATCGCAATAATACATAATTATTTTACATTTACATTTTCTCGCTCTTCGAATTTGCACTCCTATGTTCAGGTAGCTGTGAGTTTTAAATATCGTGCGTATTTACTGTGTCGTTTTGAGCTTAATTCCTTCACCTGAGCCCATGTGCTCGTAAATTGCATTGCATTATATGCCTGTGTTTAAGCTACCGTATGTTATCAGCTGTCCATTTTTATTGATTTCTACATTTTAATTGACGTGACCTGAGTTATTTTTTCCTCACATTGAGATCCTTTTATTATTAACATTTTCAAATCTCATGTTGATAACAGCATCATGTTAGTCCTTAAGAATGAACATTGTAATTGAATATGATGAGCTTATTTCAAGGCAAGATTCAGGATATACGGTCAATCTGACAACATCAAATAAAGCGTGTCCATGCAATCATGGGATAATCTTTGATTCGCTGTGCTAATCTTATACAACAAGTCTACTTAAGCTTGCTATAATCTAGTCTTAATCATGCAATGTCTACTCAGCTTGATAAAAATACAATTTTAACATGCAGAACACGAAAAATAAATGAGTTATATTTATTTTGAAATTATCTGGAGAAATTTATTCATAAAATCCTGACAAAAATGAGTACCGCAACTTAATTTCAACCAAGTTTTTTTTCCACAGCTGTGAGCGTTCGTACTTTGAAGTCTGGCATGAGGAGCAAGAGTGTCGTGTCGCGTAAGCTCACTCCTCACCTCTCAACTCCACCTACATTTGATGAACTTTCCTCACACACTTCCACTAACTCAGTTGCACTTCCACCTGCCTCCATTGCACCTAATCTCGAATCAGTTGGTAGCTCTGCTGGTGATTCTGCTTTCATCGCTGGAGACTTGGCGACGAATGGTGGATCAGCTGAGGTGCCAGGAAGAACTGAGGAAAGGCAACTAGAAGATAAACCTGGTCTCGACCAAGCCTCCCCTGCAGGAAACGTCCCATCAGCTGCAAACCGCGTCTCTTACATCCCTCGACGAGCTTCTCAGGGACTCCTTAACGCCCCCCAAAAAAGTCAAAACCCTAGCAGTGGAGTTGAAAGTTTACCTCTCGGTAAAAAATCAGAAGACAATTCATCTGGCGTAATCAACGTGCCTAAAACAGACTCTAATGCTGATGTGGGTAAGAGTACAATAGGCGATGTAGTGCAAACCGGCAACGTGCGCCACAGCATTCAAGCGCTGCAGAACCAGATTTTCGGGAACCATACACTGCAAAACTCTGCTGGCCAGATTATCATTAAGAAAAAAGCTGTGGACGCGTTCGCTGAGAGTAAGTTTCCGAGACATGAACCTATCGAGAAGTCGCCCATAAAGGGCTTGCCTGTTCAAAGGATGAACAGCAGCATACATGAGCCACAACTCAGAACAAATCCTTCTATGGTAGATGAAGATATCAGTTCTACGCGAGAGGAGAGCAAGCCTGCAGGCCTTATATCATCCCTGCAGTTGAGCAAGAGCTCCAAAGTGAACGATAATGCCGGCGACGTGTCAGCAGGACGTCAGGAGTCGAGCTGTGATCATATTAGTGATGATGTGAGCGAGCTTTCCAGACTGTGATCACGCCATCGTTGTGCGACGTATCTCTTCGTTCTGAGGATCTTGCTTCATTTTCGCCATAATAGCTACCGTTTTAAGAATAGAAGCTCTCTTTAGTTGCTTAATATTGTTAAGTGATGATTTATAATGTTCTTATATGCTATATATCGGTATGCTTATAGACGCCGTTATTCTTTAGCGTTCATTTGAATGCCTCCGATTTATTCTAGTATATCATATGTAACTTACTACGCTTGAGCGGCTCTGGTTATTTATTTGATGACGTCCTGCTGCTAAAATCTAGCAATGGTAAATAATGATTGAGATCTAGCGATGATTTCCTATGATTGAAATCTGACAATGATGTCTAATGATGTAAATCTAAAGATAAAGTCCCTTGACTGATGTCTATTTAAGTCTAACGATTTAAAACTAGAGGTGTCATATGATTGAAATATATCTACGATAGCTAATGATGTACAGCTTGAGATAATTTCTTATGATTGCTATCTATCATCGATATTTGATGATTTACAGCTTGAGAAGATGTCCAATTATTGAAATCTAGCAATGATATCTCTTGATTGATAATGATGCATTACTGGGAGGACTGCTATATTATGTGCCTCTGTTTCGTCTTACGTTCCCTATAGTGAACGCTGCGTCGAGGTGTTAATGCTGATGATTTTTTGCTCTGACTTGCGTTCTCTGTTGCTAAAGCCAGTATCAACTAGACTAGGAATTTCTACTCTAAACTCAGTTTGTATCTACGCTTTTTTTGACGTATCGCTGGTTCTTATCTTTACTTCCAAATATGGAAGTTTGAAAGGAATTTTTGTTCACCGTGATTGCAATTTATATATTTCTACTGATTTATATGCGATTTAGTATAACGGACAGGAGTAATGAAATAGTTTTTTTGAGAGAAAACGATGGCATAGGATATGCCAATGATTTTTACCATGAATGCCCTCAAATTGTGACGGCTGTAACTTGCATTGTTTTACTTCTTTTGACAAATCACTACGTAGAAAATTTTTAACTTTTTGTTGACAGGGAAATGGTGTTTAGTTTTCTGTTTCCTGTACGGTTCAGTTCTTTTTGAATCGTGGATGATCACATTTAAAAACATTTATGTAACCACTCAGCAGCGCATATAGTTCAGTATGCGACTAATAACTGAACAGAACCAGCCATATGAACAAATATCGAAGCATATCCGCGCTAGCTATCCTCTCGTGAAATTTCATTGTTCAACTCTTCAACTCCTGTTCCTGGAGCATTTTTTTTTAACTGCAAGTGTCTAAGTCACCGTCTTTTGTGACTGAATTGTCAACCCACTGGGTCTTGCTTCCCTGAGTATCATGTCTCCTTTATCGGTGCTACTTCAGCTATCAAATTCTGTTGCTGTTTTTTAATGCAATGATGTTAGCCATAAGCACGCAAGCGATTCTGTGGCTGGCTTAAAAGTTCATATAATTATGTGTGTACATATTGGTGAAGGGCTTCCAGTTTTCTGTTTTCTTATTAGTGAAGCCATTCACGATTTGTGATTTTTATTGCTTTTTATTATTGTCAGCGCTGAGAAGTAACGTTAATTAAGCGCTTGCTTACTTAATGTAAACTAATTCGATGCATATATTTTTGCTTGCTAGTCGCGTTAGGTTCAACCAATTTCACTGCCTTTCTCTATTTTTTCTGGTTATCGCGTATAATTTCCGAGTTATAAATGCCGTTGACCTTGTAGGACCTAACGCTGTCTGCTTATTGTTCTACATGAGTTCCCTCATTAAAATGCGTGAGGAAAGTATGGAAGTGACAGGCATAATCCTTAATCAAGTGACAATTTAAATTGCTATTAGAGGAGTAATCCTTTAAGTGACAATCGCAATTGCCGCTTTAGATGCAATCCTTGGCCAATTACCAATTGTACTGCAGGGAATTGTTGTTTTCCGAACTTTCTGAAATGTTGGTCTGTGGAACGCGTAAGTTAGGCGCCATCAGCGATGAGAGATCATTATGAGAGTTGCGGGGATGGTGAATATATTTATTTCGTTTGTATTATTTTGATGCATATTCCGTTATTATTGAATATCATTTATCATACAGTCAGTGGAGAGACGTTCATGCTCTGTAACGTGTTGTGAGAGTGGCATATTCATCAAATTATAATAGGTTTACAGTTCATCTTTCTCTGAAGAGGCCTCGATGCGGGCAGTTCCTCTGCTGAACAAGAGAGATGTTACGCATATCGTCCAATTACTGGAATAATACTGCTAAAATTTTCTAAATTGCCAAGACTAATTTTAATTTGTACCTTCATTTCTCATCGTAATACACAGGAATTCTCGCAGATATACCAAGTTTGATGATGTGTACCAGAATGAGAGTTGAGTAAACAGAATTTCGGGACATCGAAGATCTTGGGTAGGGAACATGGTTCCACCAATGTTTACCAATTGACTGTTATTTCCCGACAGGATGTCTAACTCATCTCTCTAAATAAATACGAAAAATATCAATGTAAGGTATGAGATTCCTTGGTCTACTTCAGTTTATTCAAAATGCTCTAATGCAAATTTCCTTAATTAATCTTAAACTATTTATTTAGACACCAATGTGTGGGCCAGTTGAAGCGGGATGGAAATCTGCGAGTTTCTTTAAGAGTTTTCATCCCTCATATATCGGTTGTAGAAGGTCAGCGGTGATAATTGAACCCTAATATTTGAATGTTGACTGGAAATGCTAGCTGTGTTGTATGTCATGTGATTTTTGTACAATAGTCGAGAATAGATGGCGGAAGAATGCCGATTGCTCCAAGAAAATTGTTTCAAGGACTGCAATCGCTCTTCATAGAATTTATTTTTTCGAAGGCTGACTTTTTCAAGCTAGGCAGTCCATATCAATCAGCTAGGAAGAAATTATGATTATCTGTCAACGTGTCTTACTTGAAAGTTTGCCAATTTGGTGCGATTAGGTTTAGCTAAAATTTAAGAAATTGGTTGCAAAGAGAAAAGTTTACTTGAGTTGACGTTTTCGACCATAGATTCTGCGGTTTATACGAAGTACTGGAAGAGTTATTAATGGTTTTGTCGTTGATATATTGAAACCTTTAGTGACTTGAAAAATGTTTTGTTTCTATTGAAATGTTATAGCGAATTAGCAATTGTTCTATCTTCTTCCTAAAAGCCTGAAAGGTGCTTGTCAAAATTATTCGTAAGTTTGCTTATCCAAAATGTGTATTGAAAAGAATATATTTGTGAAATTTACATCGAGTTTAATATGATTGTAGTAGTTTAGAAAATGTTGGGCTACAAATACTCCCTCTGTACTTTTCAATGGAAGGTATACAATGTTTTTACTTTGAATTAATTGTCTTCCAAGGTTTTGTGAGTATTAAACTGTTGTGAAAGTGTAACTCTTATTAATTTAGCATCCTACCACACGCGTGGACTCGTTAGATCAGCGGCAATGCCGCTGCCGCTTACCAAGCAATGCCGATCCAATCGAGTCTTAAGCATTGTCATGATATTGTATACTGTGGCCTTAAATTCTGTCAAGATCAACTCTGTTCTATCGCAAGGTGAAGGCGATCTTAAGTTCTACGACCGCCGTAATGTCTCAAAAAAATTATTTGGTCAAATATGCCTTTGAATTATATAAAGAGAGCAATTGTGGTCATGATCGTTGGGTCAACGGTCACTTTCAAGTCGCTAATGACCGCAAGGTTCGCTAGGAGCGTGTGGTCTGTAGTCACATTTGGGCTACAGCAGAATTTGTTCGTTTTTCTGGAACTGAGAAGCTTCGAAGTGCCAGGTTTCCTTTTGAGAGGCTCGCGTTTCCAAGTTGCTATCCTACAATGTCAGTAGCAATCCTATAACACCAGTAGATCGATATCCAGCTATCCTACAACAACAGTAGATATCTAACGATGCCATTCGCTATCCTATAATGTCAGTGGCTATCTTATAATACCATTAGTTGCAATCTCATAACACCGGTAGCTATAAATCGAAGGCCATTGTACTGCTAAAAAATTCTCGCTTGAGGTTTGGCTGCTCAGATTCCACTCACTGAATGGGTTCTGACACACGAGTCTCCAACTGAATTATAAGTTGGAGACTCGTTGTGGGGATCTGATAAATGATTTCATGTCTACATTAAAATCGAAAATTCATTAAAAACATCTTGCATGAACAGATTGGCTTTTTCGTGGCCAAATTTCGCAAAAGTGGCCTTTTTTTAAATGCATTGGCCTCGTAAAATTAATTTGGACGATGTGTCCGTTTTGGGCTTTTTATGACAAATATGTTACTCCCAACTTTTTTGTATTATTTTTGCCCTTCACTTAAAATACAAAAGATGAGTACATTTAAACTTCGACACGTAACTGTGTTAATACTACGGTGTCGGTGGGTGACGGTGGCAACACTGGCCGAGTGCCTCCTAATTTGGGCTAAACCGTGGTCGAAGCATGGGCCTATGTCCAGTCAAGTTTTGATTCATATAAATAACCATTGATGGTAAAGCTGAAAGTGCATATAGTTTTTTCTTTTGTAAAGTAGTAATTTCTGTGGTTACAGCTTTGTTTCTCGATACATTCAGCCTCGTAGTAAGAGGCATCGTAAAATTTCACTTTGATATGGGTTAATTATTCCTACCCCGCCTTAAAATCTGTTTAATGGCTCACACGAGTTAAAAAAATTATAATATTATTTTGGTCTGTCATGACGACATGTCATCATGACTAATGATTTTTCCAGCGAATTGTCTTACGGTAGGCTATGAAGGTATTCTATTTACTTGGTTCGATTTCTATTAAAGTCCTCTGCTCCAAGTAACTACATTAAATTTCAAATTTTCATATTAATTTTGAATCGGGCCGTTTTGGCCTTTTCCTTTTGGCTCCATCTGGCAACCTTACTGCTAACCGCCAGGCGCCAGCTAACGTGCGTCTTTCAGTTTCAGTGCTTATGCAGCATTCATACGTGGCGGTGTAGTGCGTTCGAACTCTCGATGGCGGCAACTTTGCCTAGCGCCTGCCATCAATCTTCGGAATATCATAACGATGGCTACGCAGTGCAACGATCTAGACGTCAATGGAATATTCAAGGTACGAAATTTTACTACAAGCGCTACTTTATTGCATAATAGATACAGGACACGTGATATTTTTGTGGATGTGTGCTTGTGAAGGCTATGATGTCGACTTCCTTGACGATGCCATTATTCGCAAATTAATTGAAAAGTCTTTGCAGGTTACGAAGATTGCATAAAACTGACATGATGCTTATCAGCTATGCGTTTTACTGGAAACTTTACACTTAAACATTCCCCTCTCTGTCGACTCGGGCGCACCTTTATCACGATCACGCCCACGCAACTGACGTCCAGTTCCAGCTGCTCGAACTATCCCATAAAACTTGCAGGAACTGGCGAGTATCATCCCAAACTGAGTTGAAAGTTGAAACTCTTTGCCATTCTATGTTAGTTTATCGTTGAAGCCCTTTTAATTTCAAAACGATTGACATTGCACAACGTACTTCTAATACCGCTGTTGGCCTACTAAACTCTCCATATAATTTTAATTCGATTAAGAACTAAATTACGTATAGGACATTGTTACCCGCGAAAAGTTTATTGGTGATCATGGTGGCAGGGAATTATTGTGAGTACTTATGCGTTTGCAAGAGCATCGACCGGTCCGGCTCAGCGGGGGGGGGGNCAGAAGTGCAAAAGCTTTTGCCGGTGAAGGTCACAGAAGGTGTGTTTTACGATCGGTCCGTAAAAAAGCGTTGATCGGTTCAAAATGACATAAGAACAGGTTCTTTTGAATAACCTATGGATTGCCACCATGTTGGTGATGCCTTGGCACTTGGTTCGCTCACCAGTTCCCCTATTTCTATTTTTATAGAGAAATAAATAGCAGCGGGACACCTGCTGGCCGTTATGCGGGCCGCGCGTGCGACGCAGTCAAATAGAAAAAAATTCTGATAAAAACTATCAACTATTCCTTGTAATAGCCGCTGCTTGAGCGCACTACGCCGGCATGTGGTATTGTGAGGCGTGTCTACCGATTCGGTGGCGTGTCTCTGCATTGTGAGCAGCGAGGGTACATTGTGAGCAGCGAGGGCGCATTGTGAGCAGCGAAAGTACATTGTGAGCAGAGGGGGTACATTGTGAGCTTGAAGATGGATCATTGGTTTTACACATGAAGCCATATTGAGTGGCATGAGCCTGTATGATGAGTGTCATGCCACTGATGAGCCTGTATGATGAGCGTCATGCGTGTGATTGTATCATGCGTCATGCGTGTGGCTGTATCATGCGTCATGCGTGTGGCTGTATCATGCGTCATGCGTGTGGCTGTATCACGCGTCATGCGTGTGATTGTATCATGCGTCATGCTTGTGGCTGTACCATGGGTCATGCGTGTGGCTGTAGTATGCGACGCGTGACAACAGAAAGTATATATATGCTCGCGGTACGTACATGAGCTGACGCCAGTTTATAACGCCTCTGTGATTACGATGCGCAGCTGCCGTCTCGTCTTTGCTTATTTTTTTATTCACTGGTATTCATGTCATTACCCTCTAGCATTCATTTCTTATTCACTGGTATTCAAGCTATCATTCACTATCAGTGAATGATAGCTAGCACCATGATTGATATGATAACACTATGATTCACGTTATTATTCAGTGGTGTTCAAGCTATCATTCACTATCATTCATGTTATTATTATTCACTGTAATTCATTATTCATCCCCCAGATGGCCCCCGCGGCGTGATCCGGCGCATGAGGAGCCAGCTGGCAGAGGAGGGAGATCCTGACTCACAGATGGCGCTGGCGAGCGCGCTGCTACAGGAGACAGGTCACCTGTGATCCATTATATGTTCATGGCCTTCATAGAATTATTTAAGCATATACTTAAAAGATGTATTGATGGTTTACTTTTATATAATTAATTAATCACATGTTTGAAGGATATGTTGATAGTTTTCGTTTAAATAGTCATATGCTTGAAGGATTTATTGATAGTTTACATTTAATGATTGTTTGTATGGCTTCTTGGTGTGGTGACGAAAAATAGGATATTGCGCCTTTTTAAATAGTATACCGTTAATGTGTCATTTTATAATAAGCAGCAGATGAATAGATATCTAGCAACACCTGTTGTATGTACACTGCAGTCATTAATACACGAAATGAATAAATTTGGAAATGAGTCGAAAAAATATTCAGTTGCTTGAGAACATTTAGTGACGTGTTAATATAGCATCTAATGACATGTTGATATAGCTCCTAGCGACGTGTTGATATAGCTCCTAGCAACGTGTTGATATAGCTCCTAGCGGCGTGTTGATATAGCACCTAGCAACGTGTTGATATAGCTCCTAGCGGCGTGTTGATATAGCTCCTAGCCTGTCTCTTATACACATCTAGATGTGTATAAGAGACAGGCGTGTGGCTGTATCATGCGTCATGCGTGTGGCTGTACCATGCGTCATGCGTGTGGCTGTATCATGCGTCATGCGTGTGGCTGTATCATGCGTCATGCGTGTGGCTGTATCATGCGTCATGCGTGTGGCTGTATC